TTTTTTTTTTTTTTTAAGATTTTATTTATTTATTTGACAGAGATCACAAGTAAGCAGAGAGGCAGGCAGAGAGAGAGAGGAAGGGAAGCAGACTCCCCGCTGAGCAGAGAGCCTGATATGGGGCTCTATCCCAGGACCCTGGGATCATGACCTGAGCCGAAGGCAGAGGCTTTAACCTACTGAGCCACCCAGGTGCCCCGTTAGAGGTGATCTTGTAAGTGAGACTGAGTGACAGGAAGGAGTCAGCCGCAGAACGAGCCAGGGAGCGGGGGGCCCAGCTGGTGGGAGACAGGATGTGAGGACTGAGAACCGGGCAGGGCCTGCATTCCCACCTGAAAGTAGCAATCGTGTGAGGAGAAGTAGTAGTAATACTAATGACAGTAAAAAGGATGGTCAGTGGCATATTGTGGCCAGGGTTTTATGTGCTGTAAATCACCTCGTTTCTTCTCATGTAGCCCCTAAAATGGGTCCTGTCAGAGTCCGTAGTTTAGAGCTGGGAACACTGAGGCACGGGGAATGTAGCGTGAGGTAAGCCGCCTTGCCTGTGGCCTCGCAGTTACCAAGGTATGGAGCCATGATTCACCCCTGAGCTCTATCTCCAGAGCCTGTGCTTTGCTTCCAAGGATACGAATGGCCCAGCCCTGGAACATTTTGGGAAATGCTAAATATCCTACAAGCCCAGGCTCAAAGCCACCTCCTCTGGGGTGTCTCCTCCTCCCAGCAGGAAGTGGTCCTTTTCCTCTGAACTTGCAGTGGAATTTTTAAAAAGATTTCATTTATTTATTTGGTGGGGGGGAGATGAGCAGAGGGAGGGGCAGAGGGAGAAGGAGAGCGAAATCTAAGCAGACTCCCCACTGAGCAGGAAGCCCGATGGGGGACTCGATCCTGGGGCCCTGGGATCATGACCTGAGCCAAAGGCAGACGTTTAACCGACTGAGCCACCCAGGCCTCCCCAGAGAGGGCATTCTTAATAGTGGGGTCTCTCTCTATCACCCGCCTATCCATCCGTCTATCTATCTATCTCTCTAACATCTATCTATGTATCATCTATCTCTCTCTATATATCCACAGCTTGGAGGAGAAATGTGGAAAAATACATATAACTATATACAGACTTCCTCTGTGGACCAAGTGCCTTAAAATGTAGTGTGTGGCTCGCTCAATGAGAAGTACATGAGACTCTTGATCTCAAGGCCATGAGTTCAACCCCCACATTGGGTGTAGATTGCTGTTAAGAAAAAAAAGACAAGAAAAAAAGGGCGCCTGAGTGACTCAGTCGGCTAAGCATCTGCCTTTGACTCAGGTCATGATCCCAGGGTCCTGGGATCGAGCCCCACGTTGGGCTCCATACTCAGCAGAGAGCCTGCTTCTCCCTCTCCCTCTGCCTGCCGCTCCCCTGCTGGTGCTCTCCCTCTCCTTGCTTTCTCTCATAAATAAATAAAATCTTAAAGTATGAAAATGCAAGATGTGACTGTGATAGTGTTCTTAAATACTAAATGTAGAGCCAAAAACTTCATATAATTTAGCATTTCTTTTTTCAACTTTGAAATAGGCATTGCTTTATATGTGGCAGGATGCCGGTTAGAATCTTGGCCTGTTAAGCTAGGAAGAAGCCCCATGCTTTAGGGTTCTTTCTAGGACCTTCCTATGATGTGATTTCTGTCTCCTGATTGCAAATATTTTTTCCTCATCTGCCTGCAGAAATGAAGATATCTTGTCCATCCTCACCGCTGTCAACAATGATGTGAGTCAAAAAGCAGACAGTAAAGGAAAATGGAAACAGATGCCCCAGCCTGCCTTCACCCTACGGAAGAAGCTAGTATTCCCTGTGCCCCCGGAAAGACGTTAGTAAGAGAGAGTTCCTGTTGGCTCTTTGACTTGAAAGGAAGCTTTGGTCAGCCATGCCAGCCTCCCGCCCCTCGCAGGAATCCGTGACAGACGGTGAGCTGACCTCTGTCTGTCATTCTAGTGACTGGAAATACCCTATTTTCTGACGCGGCAAATTCTTTCTTTTCTTTTTTCTTTTTGACAAGCCTGAATGTTAGAACACTTTCTTTCTTGAAGCTTCGTATGGTAGTCTTGGGTTTAGTTGTGTGCCCTGAGGGAAGGCAGCTTGGCCTTGGTTTGTGCATCCGTGAGGGAAAAGGTGGAACCAGGTACGTTTTAAGATTCCTTTGAGCTCCAAGAACCACTGTCCTTAGCCTTAGCTGAGCTCGATTACTATCTACCTGACCCACCCCACCCCCACCGCTTGTTATCGCCCTGCGTCCCCTCTGCATGGCCTTGTTTTGGACCCTGGCTAATGGTAGAGAGCACGCACGGCTCTCCCCTTCCCAAGGCTCCTCTCCCGCACACCGGCCCAGGTGGAAATTTGGCCTGTACGATGCCCGTTTCCTGCTTTAGTGTAAGGAAGGTATTCCTGCACGAGCTGTTTCCCTCGGCGTGGGTACAGGCTCGGCTCCAGAGTGCTGACCGCCTGAATGAAGAGACACACACTCGACCACTCTGGGAGCAGAGACCCTACAGTGTGAGGTTAACCCCATGTTGGGCAGAATGTCTCAGATACCAATGACAGAACATTCACGTCAAGCCGACTAAAGCAAAGAAGGGGATGGGTTTGTCTCATTTGTCAAAAAACGCGCAGATGCGTGGTGCCAGCTTCCTGTGAGGCTTGAATCCGGACTCAGTCTGCACTATCGTGCGTCCTTCTTGGCCAGGGGTGTCTCGGTGGCTGCGCTGGGCCGACTGCGGTCAACGGCCCCTCCTTGTCACCCACGTGCTCTGTTCCTCTGGCCCAAAGGATGGAGGAGAGCGGCAGCCTGACGGTCTGAAGCTGTTCACGGGGGCTGTCGTTCTGTCCTCAGTCAGAGACTTGTCTGGCTGTGCCTTGGGGCGTGTGGTTCTACTTAGAAGCCCTGATATTTTTTACATTAAGGTTGTGAATATCTTTATTTATGTGAACTTTTTTTTTCTTTTTCAATTTCAAGAGGAATTTCTTTTGCAGCTCCTGAAGGAGGGAGGGTGAATGTCCTCTCCTTAAGGCCTTTATTCCCAGACGAAGAAGTTAGGGCCCCAGGAGGCCAAAGAGATTCACTACCGTCCCCCAGACTGTTACTGTTTACAGGATCTGATTTCCCACTGGAGGGAACTGGGATGTCATGGGACCCAGCAGGGCTTTAGGAATGTTTCCTTGGATATGCAGAAGTTCATGAAAGATGTCAGGGAATGAGGACACATCACTCTCAGTGATGCCCTATTTTGTAGTGAATCCTGTGGAAGTCGCATTAATTTGTGGGGTATTTGCTGGGAGAAATATTCATATAAGTTTTTTACACTTGTAATGACATGGACGGAGCAAATCATTACATGGGTTTGAATGTAGCTTTGCCACGGAAAGGAGCCCAAATGCACACGTCAGAATGATCTTCCAGAACCAGTGTTCGTACAAGTCAGAACTAATGGCTGGTGATTAATCTTTGCCCAGTTGAATATACGCAGCTTTTAGCCATTTCATAAAACTCCGCGAGTGAAGGATGGTGTGGTTCAAAACGAAAAGCCAAGAATCTGGACAGGGAAGCCTGGGGTTTCCCTTTGGTCTTGTGACCCCCTTGCTCTGAGACACTAAATCCAGCTGGTTTTTCAAGCCTTATCTATGGAGTAGAGACAAATGACCTATTTAAGATAGGGATTTAGAGGAATATATAATATATGTATATTATAATAAATATATTATGTATCTCTCCATTTACGTGCAGTTGATGTGAGGTACATAGAAGACCTTTAGGTGGCAGTAACCTCAACGGAAACAGCAGAATTTGAGTTCCTTTGCGTCTAATTCCAGCTGAATCGTTGCAACAAGTCACTCTAGCAGTCCCCACTGAGGTCCTCTGAGGGAAACACTGGTTCTGCCCTCACTGATTCACAGTGTCCCCAGCAGCAATAGGCCAGCTCTTGGCTCTGAACTCGGCTGTGAAAAACACCGCTAAGGAACTCTCCTTCAGCAGCGACATTTGGGGTTCGATGCCGAGGTCCCCCCGGTCCCGTGGGTCTATTCCATATTTCTGTTGTGCTGGATCTTAGAGCCTAACGCAAGGTTAAATTCAGCCCACAAGTTGCTTTTCAGAGCTCTCCGGCAAGTCCTGAGGAGTCACTAGACGTTGATGACCTCAAGTCAGACGAGCAGATGTGGACACCAGGAGCACCCCATCCTTCAGTCGTTTCTCCTAAATGGAGTGTGTACACACTTGTCCCTTGTCTGTGTGTGTGTGTGTGTGTGTGTGTGTCTGTGTGTCTGGGGATTTAGAGCGAATCACAGGAGGGGATTTGGTCCCAGGTATATGGCAGTGGCTATAGACACGGTCTGCCTAGACATTGACGAATGAAATGCGCAGACCGAGTGAAGTCTTCTGTACATTTTGCCTTGTTGTGCTCACCCTACGAGAGCTATAGTTAATTTTTTCTCTCTTTTCTGTTTTTTTTTTTTTTTTCTCTCAAAAGTTTGGCTTTGACCAAACCAGATGAAGGGACTTTCCAGATGTAGAAACTTTTTATGGAATCTTATGCAAGTGTTAGTTATTTAATAGTACTACTACTGGTGTTTATTATTAGAGATACTAGTCACCACAGCATCCTCTTGGCCTTTGCTGTGGGGCCTCGCCATGCTCGTGGGCCTGTTTGATATCACCAGGGCTCCCCTTAGCCAGGGCTCGGGTGGTGCAGACAGGCAGCAGGTCCAGTGTGGTTACTGATCGTCAGAGCAGACACTGACCAGTATAACACTATGGGGGGTACCACTGAACAGCAGCCCTCTTCCAGTGACCTGGTCTCCACGGTGGGAGACCAAATGAGAAGTTGACCTCATTTTGTAGGTGACTTTTGTGCTGTACTTGAGTCCTAAAATCTTCCTGGACCGATAACTTCTGAGTGATTTAGTCACATTCTTAGCCTGGAATTCTCAGGTCCTTGGTGGTTTGTGGATTTATTCTCAGGGTCTATGAGCCTTCCACCTGCCGTTTGAAATGCTGTAATTTCTTTTTGGTGATAATCTTCAGTTACTAGAGTGGATCCTGTCTCTTCTGTATGATCACTTCGTATTTTAGCACGGACAAATAACTTTTGTGCCCGCAGCCCAGTGCCCCCAGGAAGTGATGAACTTTACCTCGAACTCTCTAATGTATCATAGATTAGGGTTCAGGGCCAAAGGTCCTCTGACCTGTTGGCAGGTACCAGTAGTTAATCCATCTGGAACAAGCGCCAGTCCATCCTCTCGAGCCGTGACAGACCCCTAGTCCACCATCCCTCTGCCCCTGCTTAACTCAGTGGAGGGAACTCACACTACACGCAAAAGCCATGGCTTTGGGAGTTCGGAAGGACCCTCGCTAGAGAACCCACGGTCCAGGCTTCGGTGTCAAATGGAAGGACTTGGAATCGTGTATATCTCCTGTTTTGCATCCTTGCCATCTGGTTTCACCGTGAGACCAGCCCTAATTGTCCTTTTCCCTTTTGTGATTTGAACCTGCTTACAACCTACTTAACTATCTTCCAGTAAAGCACATGCTGCTTGTGACGAGTTACTTTGTTTCCGGTAGGGTCTGGCTCTCCTCACAAGTCTGTAGTTTGCCTTTAAGGATGTGGTAAGAATATCACATTTGTGGGCAAGACACATTTGTATCTTTCAACAGCAGCTACATTTCTGAAAATGAAATCCTTTTTTAAAAGTAGGAGGAGAAATTCCTTGTTTAAGGAAAGACTGATTTGCCAGTATAAACAACCACTTTGTAACATAACTTTTGCATATGTGAATTTTTAAAAGGATTTTTCTTCTGTTGAAATTTTGAAATTGTATGAATTTTTACTCTTTAAATCTATTTTTGTACAAGTGATATCTTTACATTGCCCAAAGAGAATACAAAAGAGGTTTTCAGGATAACTTTTGGCTGCATTTCTGTCCACCAAATGCCCAGTGCTCCCACCTCTGAATCCCAGAGATAATTGAAGGGATTTCTTAATGCAAATGCAAATACAGCAACTACAAAATACATGTGTATTTTAAAGTGAGCATTTCTTGAAACAAAGCACATACACTGTGAAACTCAGATCTCTCGTTCGGTCTCATTTTAAATGATTCTGTGAGATGCCTGGAAATATTTGTACAACCCTACAATGGGAATAACTATGAGATTTGTGGATGGTTCCTTGTAAATAGTAGTAATTGTATGGCCAATAAATAAAGGGATTTTTTTCCTTTTTACCTTTGAGTAGTATCTTTGATTCCTACATTGGTAGTAACATATGCACATTGTGGAATATTTGGAAAGCAGAAGAACACACAAAGAAGAGTTAATTCATTTATGATTCCATTTTGGCGTACACTTTCCCATGATATCACTCTGCATTTGTCCCTGAGCTTCCCCACCACCTTTAAATCAGCCTAACCACCATGTCCTCCCAGTGCTGCATCCAGTAAACTCTGTCATTACCAATATCTGTACCTCTACCCACAACCTCAGCTGCAGACATTTTTGACAGCTGCCTGCTCCCATTCCATCTCACTTTCTCTAGGACCCTGGCCCCGACAGTCTTCAGGGCCGCTGGGACCTCTGATAGTCCATCGATCCTATCTGCCATTTCTCCAATGTCAACACCACTGCTCACTTCTTCCCTTCCTCTTTATCCAACCGGAGTCCCAGGTGTCCTCATTCAGCTCTGTCACACCCACCTTGACACCCTTGCCTTTCCTGCATTCCTCCTCGTGGGTCAGGATCCAAGCTCTGGGTGATCTCATATGCCTGCTTACCCCCAGTTTGTGCTAGAATTCTTGGTTGAGGTTGGTGTAAAAATATAAGTGTTGCAGACTGGTCTCATTGAAAACCAATGACCAGGGGCGCCTGGGTGGCTCAGTGGGTTAAGCCGCTGCCTTCAGCTCAGGTCATGATCCCAGGTCCTGGGTTCAAGCCCCGCATCGGGCTTTCTGCTCGGTGGGGAGCCTGCTTCCTCCTCTCTCTCTGCCTGCCTCTCTGCCTACTTGTGATTTCTCTCTGTCAAATAAATAAAATCTTTAAAAAAAAAAAAAAGAATAAAGAAAACCAATGACCATAGACTTCAAACAGGCTTTTGGTGGTTCTCAGGAATCCTGTAACATTTCCTGGTTATGTCCCCCTCTGCTTCCTCAGTCTGTTTGACACTTTCTTTAGAATTTTCAGACCTCTGTCATCCTCCATTCACCTCACTTTACGTTGACGGTCTCAGTGGCTTCACTAAGGGAGGTAATTTTTTTTTTTTTTTAATTTGACAGAGAGAGAGAGAGATCACAAGCAGGCAGAGAGAGAGGGGGAAGCAGGCTCCTCGCTGAGCAGAGAGCCTGATGTGGGGCTCGATCACAGGACCTGAGATCACGACCTGAGCTGACAGCAGAGGCTTAACCCACTGAGCCACTCAGGCGCCCCATAAGGGAGGTAATCTGATAGGAGTTCCACCTTCCACCACCGAGATCGCACCCTGACCCTGTTTACTGCTTTCTCCCCTGTCGACAGCGGCTGCACAGTCCAGTCTGTGCCTCTCCCAAGAGTCTGTGTTTCTCTCATGTGCAGGACTGTCCCACCCCGCTCACTCGAGGACGCCACTCTTGGAGCCCTTCCTCCCTTTCCTCCTCTATCAACTCTCCCTTCTTGCCCAAATCATTCCCCTCAGCGCCCAAAATATGCTGGAGCTTCTCTTCCTTTAAAGCCAAAACGAAAGCAGAACCAAAACCCCTGAATCATGCAGATCTTGTGTCACGTGCTCAGAGTCAGACCCGGAGAGGAGGATTCCTGTGCGAGCGACGTGTGCAGGAACGGTTCTCGGTTCAAAGGGAGTGAGAAAACTGGGCTTCCGACCTCCCTCAGCCCTCCAGCCCTCAGCCCACCTCCCAGGTGGGAGACCTCAAACTTTCAGGCCCTTCCCGTGGTCTTGATACAGTTTTGGAATATAAGTGAGGTTTGGTGGGGTAAGGTCCAGAGCCAACAGCCAAGAAAGAATTCTTGAGACGTCTTTGGTGCAAAATGGTGGTTTTATGAAAGCCCGGGGTCAGGACCTGCGGGCAGAGAGAGCTGTCCGAGGATTGTGAGGGGAATTGGGGGACGCAAGGAAGAGGGAGGTTTTCAAAATAAGATTTGTAGGCTAAAGAGGACCTACAAGATATTTGAGGCCTTGCCGTTGTCGGGTTAGGGCTGTTTCCCCTCTAGTAAAGTATTAACCCTAAGACAGCTGGGAGTTTCCCGGAGGAATGTTGTACCCTATCACGGGTCCTTGTCAATGGGCTGCTGTTTATGAGGAAATTTTATTCTATTTACATTTCTGTCTACCTTTGTTCCCACATCACTGTGGATGTGATGAGGGAGCAGGAGGCAAGCTGAGGACAGAGCAGAAGCTGATGCCCCACAACCCCCTTCCCCGGACGGGACACCTGTGACATTCCTCAGACTCCTGGCTGCCCTAAAGACAAGGAAAGGAAAAACAAATAACTTATACAGATCACAATCCTGCACTCATGAGTCTCCCAAAGGTTACAGATGTCTTAGCAATCTGCAAGAACAAAGCACTTCTACCAATAGCCTCGCTTCCAGAAGGAAATGTAGGTGCAATGAAATGTCCGCATAACCTGTAGCCCATTGGCAGATACTTGAAGCGGGTGGGGCAGAGTGTAACGTTCCTCCAGGAACCTTCCCAACCTTCTTCCTGTTACTGCCTTGCTAGAGGGAAAAATAACCTTGACTTGACAATGGCAAGGCCTCCAGGTATCCTGGGAGTCTTCTTTAGCATAGGAAAATCCTTTTAAAACGCCCCTTTTTCCTTAGTAGAGTGTGAGCTCACCAACCCCATAGTATATAATCAGCCACCCCTCCCTGCCAAGCCCCCGGACAGCACCTCTCTCTGCCCATGGGTCCTGCCCCGGGCTTTGATAAACCACCATTTTGCTCCAAAGACGTCTCAAGAATTCTTTCTTGGCCCTGGGCTCTGGACCACATGCTACCGAACCTCACCTAAGCTCCAAAACCCCATCAGGTGGGTGGGTGATGTTAGGGCTCCAGGAAATTGAGTCTGTGGGTCCTGGAAATTAGGCTCTGGATAAGAATGCTGTTCTCTTCTAAATCACTAAGACCTTTTGTAAACTGAGGGAGACCCCCGTCTCGTGGGACTGTGATCCCTCTCAGTTAATCATTGGGTTTTCCCTCCCCTTAGCTTTAGGGCAGCCAGGAGCGCCTGAGGAATGTCACACATGTCCCAACTGGGAGGGGAGGGGCGGTTTGTGGGGTGTCAGCTGGTGCGTTGTCCTCAACTTGCCTTCTGCTCCCCCATCACCTTCTAAAGGTGGGACCCTTCGGAAGCAAAACCCTCTACAATCCAGCAAGCTGGCCAGACTGGCTGGCAGGTGGGATGGGGTCAGGGTAGGCAGAGGGGGCTTAAGATGGATCAGAAGAGATCTGCGTGAAGCATGACCTCACCCCCTACACCCCTCGGGACCCCATATCCTCATCCTCCCATCCTCAGCCTCATCCAACTTTGGCAGGGGGTGGGTGACATTTAAATTGGAGGCACATACCGTCTATGTCGAAATAGAAATACCAACACTGTTGTCCTCTCCTACCCTTGCTTTGGAATGGCCTGAAAGGCCAGGTTAGGAGGCATCGCAAGGCGCTTTCTTACCTGCAGGCTTGCTTCCTTTTCCAGAACAGACATCCGGCAACGATGGCTCTAAAAGGCGGACACCCCTCATTCCTGCCTTGGCAACATGAATTCTATTGCTACCACAGAAATAACCACCACCAAAAACACAAACGGGCACAGGGTGGCAGAAACTCAGTGTGCAGCTCCAGACTACATCGGATCGTCCTACATTTCTGCTTATCCTACCACCTGAAATCATCCCCGTCCCTCTGCCCACGCCTGCCTGGACCTCCAGCTCCGGCCACCCGTCGAGAAGACCCCGAGCCAGGTTTGGCGGGCTGTTTCTCGCTGCTGCCCAATTAGCAGCTTCAGCCCTTGGCTCTAGTCGCCTGCCAGTGCTGAAAATAAATGATGACTGTGTGAGAGTGACAGAGAGGTGTTACTGGGCCCATTGTATGGATCAGAAAATCAGGGCTCAGAGAAGCTAAGCAAGAAACAAGATCACACGACTCGAAATGTGGAAGAACCGAACTTGAACTCCCTGTGGCTGATCTCCACGTCCCGGGGCCTGTCCTTCCTGTCTGTGCCACACTGCTCTTGTGAATACTTCCTGAGAGACAGGGGGCAGGCCATTGGCACCCCATCTCGGGTCTTGGAGACGGGAGCCTGTCCTCTCTGCTTGAGAAATGTGCAGGAGAAGACAATTTTATCAACAGTTTCGGGCCTGTAAAAAAAAATGGGCTTGGCCTAAGTTAAAGATTACAATCAAATATTAAAAGAGCTCTATTACTTACAAGAAAGATGATTCATTCTGCCAGTAATCGAAAGCACAGCTGCGTGTAGATGTTAGGTGGGTCCAACCTCCTCCGGCTCCCAGCACTGTTTCCATAGGTCTGGGGTCCCTCCATGGGATGAGTGCACCCAGCAAGATTCCCCACCTCTTTCGGTTCGTGTTCGGTACGAGGTTATAATTTCTGGGAAGGACATGGAAGTGAATTCAGTGGCAGTCAGAGAACGCATGTCGCATGTCGGGGCCTGAACAGACAGATCTCAACCACTTCCTTGCTTCGGTCGGCCTTTGCACAGATGTCTCGACACCCACTCCCCTACAGGCAGGGAAGTGGTTGATGTCAGTCTTTTCCAGAGGCCTGCTCCTCTGGCCACTCACTAGCCACAGGACCTGGGATCTGCTGTGCCCCAGAGCATGACACGTGCCCGGCCCTTTGCCAGGATCGCCTGTCTGTTGTGGACCGTGGAGAATCTCAAACCTGTCACCCTTCTTCCCTCTTACTGCTCACACTTTTGTTTCATGGGTCTATGTGTTTATCGCATTTCATCTTTTAAAAACTCCTCTATTTTTTAAAAATTTGGGAATATAATACAAGCATGTAGTAAAACATTTATACAGTGCAAAAGGATACACAGGGAAAAGTAGATTTCACACGGATCCCTGTCCCCCAAATCCTCAATTCCTTCCGCAGAGGTAATTGTTGTTGTTTTAAAATTTTGTGTAAGTCATCTCAGCACCTCATGGGGGGCTCCAACTCACAACCCTGAGATCAAGAGTCGCATGGTCTTCCGGCTGACCCAGCCAGGTG